AGCAAGTTGAATATCCACTTTATGCGGTCTTAGTTTGAGGGAAAGTATCTTAAATATATTGGGACAGGGCAATGCCATGGATATTAGAAGGACACTGAGAAATGCTCTGAATTTTGAAAAGAGTAGGTATTGACTTAGAATGAAGTTCTCTATTTCAACTTAGTAATAACAGGGTGGCCAAATCACTTGCCTCGGTTAGCATCACCCACTACTTTAGAGGGCTCACTCCTTTCTCAAAGCTTGTGAACTCTGGGATGCTGATAGTCCTGGCTCGGAGGCAACAGGTGAGCTTCCTAGTCTAACAGTATTGCTTAGCTCTTTTCTGAGTAGTTTATTCTTCACTGAAAGAAGCACTCAAAAATATTTTAAACATTATTTTTAAGAAAAAAATCCCAAGTCTTCCAAAGTGTAATTATAACATGGCTAAGCAGAATGCCTACGGAACAAGGGCTTGGTTTCTCAATAAGAAAGGCTTTACTGGGTTGCATCTAGAGGGTGGCCTTGATATCATACTATGATATAGAGAAGGCAGCTGAATTCTCTAGGGACAGCCAACAGAGAAGAAAGCAGACCATAGTAGGTCGCTTAAAAATTCGTGGGGTATTGTCCAAATATTGAATTTGGTGTGTTCCAACCCTGAATCAATGATACCAAGCCAGGACTCAATAGGATCATGAAATTCCCAAGACTTTCTCTGTTCTGTCAAACTGTCATAGAAAAGACAGAAAAGGAAACATCATGTTTATATTTTATTAATTGAATGTTCACCATACTCTCCATTCCATTTCAGAGGTTATGATATTTTCTATTATATGATGATTTTTATCAGCAATTCATCAAGCAATCCTCAGTGGTTTTGTGTCATTATTCTTTTAACCCAAGCAACACTAAGGTTTTCTGAAACTTACATATACGGGTCATCTAAAAGACTATCAGTGTAGGTATATGAAAACGTATCATTTGAGAAGATACGTTTGCAACAAATACCCAGACACAGCAACCTGTTTCTAATTTGGCATGAGTTTCTGATGGTAATCCAGGCCAGGTCTGTGGCAACTGGGGAGAGTTGGACACAAGCCAACACGATGTCACTAATGAAGTCATGAGCGCCCTTATGGACACACTTGGAGAAGGCAGGGACTGGGAAAAGCTGCTTTCTGTGCAAGTACCATCATGCTTTAATGAAAGACAATGATTCATGGCAACCATATCCTTTACTATTTAACCTAACAGGGAAAAGTCCTGAGGAGAAAGTCTCATATACATAGTTTAAGATGGTAAAATTATTCATAAAATTGTAAGACTATCTGCTCTAAACAATCATCTTAGGACAGTCTCTCAAGGAAGGACGCGATTCACAAACTTCAGCTCTTCTTTGCATTCAGGGCCAGCAAGACAAACAGGGCCAAGATGACAGGATTTAAAGCAGTCTGTGTGCCGAGGACAGAGATCATCCTACATTACTTGGCATTACTGTGTGCTGCTAGTAACATCTCAGGAACAATCACATACGTAGGAGAAATCCTAGAATGTTGAATATATACGGTGGGAGGCATAAACCAAGAAGAGAGAAACGTTCTCATAAAAAGTGTCTTTGAGGTAACTGTGCTGGGATTCCCTTCGATGGTGCATTATTCCTTCATTCTAGAGACAAACAAGCAATAAAAACAGCAGCGAACTATCCCAGCTTTTCAAATGAACCCCCTACTCCAAATGCCAGATTCCTATTGGCTTAGACAAGACTCCAAAGGAACAGTCTGGCTGTGTTCCATTCAAGACAAAAGTTCATCCTCCCCAATGAAGCAAGGAAGTCTGCAGAGAGGTTAACTTGCGGGGAGTAAATGGAACACACACACAAACACACACACACACACACACACACACGCACTAAGAAGTTATAAATCTTTTCCTGGAAAAAAAAAAGTGTCTATCAGGCCCTCACAGTAGCCTTGCTGTTAAGAGCATTAAAGCAAATGCACTGAGCCTAATATATTCACATATAACATGTGCGGGCCATTTCACATGCTTCATCACTCAGAGGGCAGCTGCTGCAGGGTGGAAAATGGATACTGTGGCAGGTCACTGGTGATTTATACTGCAGCACACGCAGAACAGAGGAGGGCCTGCTTACCCAGGCAACCCCAGGTCCTGACACCCCCCTTCCATAGAGCAGCAAGTGCAGAAGGAGCACCTGACCTACTGTGGCTGTCAGAGTAAAAAGGGGGCTGGATAGAGCCAATAACAAGCCTCACTTCGTTATGTCTAGAGTGCATAAACTCTCACCAAACGTAACACAAACATATATTAATAATTAAATAATTAATGGGTAAACCTCCTGTGGGATTCCTTAATGTCTGAAATTCCCTTCTTACCTGAAATCCTGGGACTCTACCTGGTGCCTCTGCACAGGACTCACATCAAAAAGAAAAAACAAAAAGGAAAAAGGAAAAGAAAAGAAGAGGGCACCCCACAAGAGCAAACTAAAAAGACACTCTCTTCTGCTCTCAGCTTCAAGCCCTCACTCCACACAGACACTGTTCAGGGATGTCCTTTCTGTCGTGGCATAATAATCACATTCAAATCGACAACTTCCACGTTTTGCCTAGAAAGAGGGGAAGGACCAAACCTATTGTGCTGGTCTCCATAATCCTTTGTTACCGATCAACAAAGTCTTTAAAAACCTTCTGCTGAGTCGGAATTTCAATGCCGATGAACTAGACATTTGGCCTTATTAAGGGCACCTCCTACTGGTCCTTTCTTAGAGCGAACTATGCTTCTTCCGTGCCATGCTCCCAAAAATTGCTACTAAGGAAAAGGGTAATATTCAGGTAAACGAGCAAAGGTGCCTGGAGCAAGCTGAATTAGCAACATCTTCAAAGTGCACCACCCACTTTCCGGGGACCTGCACAAACCACATCACCTTCATGCGCAAAGACCCCAAAATGAATTTCGAAATGTAGAGAAGTTTAGAACAAAGATCAGCAAGCATTATCCATTGGTATTTTCCTTACACGTGTATACTTTTGTTTAGGATTCTTTAAATTTTTTCTGCATAGAATCGTCTATGAAGAGAAAATTTTGAGACGAGAATTAAAATAAAACAGTAGTAAACAACTGACTACAAGCAAAAAAACCTAAGTGAATGGAAGATTTAATTTGGAGATTAATATGACATATCTGATCTATCCACTCATCCACCACCAGTCGGTACCGGGTAGTAATCATTTGGGAATGGCTTCAAAATGTTGTGTAACAGAAAACACTGTCCATTTTTGCACACTTTACTTAATTCAATATTATCAGCCTCAATCTTTACTCCCTCTCTCTTCTGTGGGCTTTCTGCTTAGCAGGGAATGTCTCTAAACTTCCCTCTTTCTGTCCAGATGCTCCCAAAGTGCCAGAGAGAGCACAAGTCAATCTTCTGGGCACAAGGAAGGTTCTGCTTACTCCACTGGTGAGCATTTGCGGTTTAAGGAGGGAATTTTTGAAGACACTTTTCACCCCTTGCCTCTTCACACCTACCTCCCACCTTCAAAGGGAATAATTACGGAGGACAAAGCTCTGGGAGAGAGGAGCCAGGGAGGAGGGGACCGCCCAGAGGGAGGAGGTAGGGCGGGCAACTGTGATGAGGGTGCGCATCAGAGGAGTGCACACAGCAAGCACACACACACACACACACACACACACACACACACACAAACACACACGCTGGCTAGCTCTGGCTGCCTAGAGAAGGATGAAAGCCCAGCGCGTGTGTGCTCACGTTAATCCTGCTGGCTAGTGGCGAAGCTGGCTGGGCGCTTGCTTCATGGCCTGAATCCCTTGCCACCGTGAAGCATTCGCAACCCTTGGTTTTGCAGCCAGTACCAGACAGCCGGAGTTTAGGACTCTAGGGAGGCTGGGGACTTGGCTGCTGTGATTTAATTTTATTCCGTGTTAATTTCCAAGGCGCAGGTTGGGGCGCTCCTGTCCAACTCCTGGCCCCAGCCGGGGCGGTCTTCGGATCTGAGGAAAGGTCGATTCCAGAGGGAGTTGCATGCTCACACAGCAGCTGTTCTGTCTTTCCCCAGCAGACAGGCTCCCTATACCCAGTGCCCACCTACTTGTGGTGGCGTCCCGCAAAACCGGTAAATCTTAGCACTTCGCTGGTTTTTATTCCTTTGGCCACAGAAACCGCAGCTCCGCATTCGGAGACTGCAGCCCTCAGATCCTTCTTTCTCCTTCTTTAGCCCCATCTAGTCCCCTCAACAGTTTTGTCGTTTTTAATTAGAAACTACGCTTGCCAAGTGCCAGGGCCAGGAGGCCTGTTTCCCAGAACATCAATCATTTGGAGTTTGGAGGTGTCTTGGAGATATTTGGAGACTTAGCTAGCAAACAACGTTCGCCTACCGTTAAAATTTCAAATATGCATCTCTCCTTGCAGCTCTGCCCCTCTTTAGGCACTGCTATGCACTCATTCAAAGTACTCCAAACATACATCCGTTCTGTCCCTCTTTTGATTAGCAATCAGCAAGTACAGAAATGCAAACCTAGGGTCCCACATATTCACACAAACAACCCTAGCCCTACATCCCGCACAGACTTGCTCTAGGTTCCCTGGATGTCATCCTCTGCTTGCTCTTGTTCCCCCATCCACATCCCTCTTCCTAGGTTTTTGAGGCTCTGAGGATACAACCCAGTTATTTTCAACAGCGTCCCCATCACTTTGGCAAGCTCGTCCTCCAAATCAACACAAGTATTTGCAAAAGCAAAGATGCAAGAGAAAAGCACCAGATTGAAAGAAAAACGCGAAAGGATGCCCTCGAACCCACCAGTATCCTCCGCCCCCAGGGGGGAAAAGTCTTTTTTTCTTTTATCATCTGCGAGGAAACGGTGGGCAGAGTGAGCACCGAATATTTTATTTCTCTTACACTCTAATTCTATTCTCCATATGAAACTGGAAGAAGAAGAAGGGGGTAAGGGGTGGGGGAGTGTAGAGAAGAAAGGAACAGAGCTCTTACCAGTGACTTGAAGATGCGCGCTGAGCAAGGAAGCTCCGAAGAGTACAAAAGCCAGCTTGGGTACCCAAACACATCCAAGACTATTCTCCATATTTCAGCCAACACCTTCGGGGCCGGGGGTCCTGGGCAGCGGTGGCACTCACACGCATGCACTCACACACACATGCACACATGCACACACCCGCGCCGAGCCCCTTCGGCTTCCTCCTCCTCCTCCTCGTCCTCTTCCTCCACCTCTTTCTCCACCTCCCCTGCGCCTCTTCTGCCTGGGAAGCCTTTTTTCCTTGTCCAGAGACACAATCAGCAGCAAGAAGAGGCAGCAAAAAGTTCCATTCGGTACAAGAGCTCCCGAATCCCGATAGCACCTTGGATAACTAACTCAAGGAAACGAAGAGAGCAAGGGAAGGGGAGACAGCTCTCCGTGGAGCTTGTGAGGCATCAATGAACGGAATATCCAGGAGGGCTAGAGAGGAGACGCAAAGCAATCCCGTGGCTGGCCATGCGTTAGAACGCTGAAGCTTCTTCCTTGTAGTCGGTTGGATAAAGTTGGAGAGAAAAAATTCACGCTGGTGATGCTGTTCCTTTGGCTTCTGAGAGCTGGGGAAACGGATAGGGGACAGAGGCGGGGGAGTGCCGGGCGGAGCGCTCTGCTCTCACTTGTTACTGGGGTGTCCGCCAGCGGTGTGTGAGCTGAGAGTTGGAACCTTACTATCCATTGATCCAGAGAAGTGGAGGGTTGGAAGGGAAAATGTGGAGACCGGAGGGAAACGAACTGGATCAGGCAAAGAATCCACGCGATGGGGGGCGGGGGCCTAGAGAAGCTTAGGGGGGAAAAAAGAGCGGACGGAGGAGGCTTCCAGCAGCTGCGTTCGTTCGGTCTACATATCAATGCGCAGGGATGCCCTCTGTGGGCAAAGCGTGGGAAGTCACTTTTGTCAATGGAGCCAGCGAACATCATGAGCATCTGGAGGCTTTGCAGCAATCACATTTGATCTTCTGCATTCAGGAAATTATTTTATGTGACTATAAAACCTGGGCGGGTGATTCGGATAGGGCAAGTGGCCAGGCTTTTACTTTCTTTCTTGTCTTCTGTTTTATTTAAAAGAGAAATTTTCATTAGGGGAAAAATATCTAGTGCAACACACTTCTAGAATCAGGCAAGGGAGATCCAGAAACGCCCCACACCCTAAGCAAGTGTCAGACTGCTTCCTGAGGGTAACTGGCACTGGCGTCTTTTCAGTGCGCGTTTTATTTCATCCATGGTCACTCTTCTCCAGAGTAGAGTCAGTTGCTTAGGTATTTAAAGCACTCACCATATTCAGGGTGCCTTGATGTCTCCCAAGAAACATGAACCTGGGATTTAGCCTGACTCAAACTTCATTCTCAAGGTTCAAAAAGGTTTTCATCAGTTGGAAGAAAAGAGTAAAGGGACAATTTTAAATTATTATGAGAACTATGCCGATCCATAGAATGTTCTCATCAGGGAAAAAGAAAATGTACTCCTCCAGTCTCCGGACAGGACATGATGGAAGAGTGTATTGAACACACACACACACACACACACACACACACACACACACACACACACGGGGGGGGGTGTTTACAGGAAATTCATGTACCGAGTGAAAGTTCAGAAAATTGTTTCAAGCCTAGTTATTCAACACATCTTACCTTCTCCGCGAGACATCAGGCAGCCTCCACAGGAAACATTGCGGTGCCTTTCATCTCTGCTGGCCTTGCAAATGCTGGTGGGACTCGTAAAACAGCTCTGCAATTTTGTTAAAACAATGAACTAACAAACAAATGGATTGACTTGACGAGTAGAAGCCACCGGGAAAATGTTCAGCTGCACTTGTCTCTTATTCTTCATGGCACCATTTTGTTGATTCCTTCCATCTCTCCTTCACTCTTTCTTGTCACTCAGATTCACAAGGCTGTGAAGGATATGGTGGATTGTCTGTAAGAGAACAGTGAAAAAAAAAAAAAAGAACTGTGAATAATACAGAATAAGGTCCCCACCCGGAAAACACTAAAGCTGATCAAGGATCCTTCAGGTTCTTAGCCATGCTCATCCCTTTCAACTCAGAAAATATTAACATAAGCAGCACCTCTAAGGACTGCATCCAAATTTCTAAAGACGCTTAGGTGCTTTGTTGATGTCCAACTTTTCAAAATCAGAACTTCCAGCAGCGAAAATAGAAATGTAGGGTTGAAATCAAGAGCATGGTTTTAATTGGGCCATGGATCCTTCTGAAAGATCGACGACGATAGAAAACTTCAAGAAATTTGTGACATTCAGAATTTGTTGTGAAGAATAATCAGGCATTAGGGACACATGCTTTTTTACTCAGACAGGAATCTTTACCTTCCAGGTAGATGTACAAAATGATGGCTGAAATTGTGGACATGACCTTTGTATCAGAGAGCAAAGATGGCAGAACTATGATCACTCCTTGAGAGACATGAAGTTGGCTACTCCCAAGACCAGTAAAGACAATTGTTATCACCTAGTGCCAGATAGGAACCCAAAGTAACCTGTGTAGTTGGGGTCTCAGCAAGCAGAGATTCTCCCCTTCCCAGATCTCTGACCCTTTAATATGGTACCTGATGTCATGGTGACCCCCAAGCATACAACTATTTTGTTGCTACTTCTTAATTGTCATTTTGCTACTGCTACTAATCATAATGTAAATATCTGATATGTGGGATATTGGATATGTGAGTCTGTGGGGGTCATGTCCCATGGGTTGAGAACTGTCACTGTCAAGGCATCCTACTTAGCCCAATACGTTAAATCTAATCATCTGAATACCATGCCCAAATGAGTCCAGGCCATCAGCCGGTTGACTTGAATAAGGAGGTTCTACAACAACGTATCGTTGCTTCCCTTCCTCCTTTATACTGCTGTGTCCCACAGCTGATGGATGATAACTAACACTCTTTGGTACTCCTTTCTCCAACAGTCTCTGCTTCAGCTTAGTGTTAAGATGCTCTGTGGAAAACAGCTTTAATATTGTCAACTCCAAAGGATCCGTGGCTTATACTTGAGACACCGCATTCTCCTTCCCTACTAAGGTGTCAGACACACTTCCCACTCGGCCTTCTCATTAGCAGAAAGAAAATCAAAATATAAGATGAGAAGAGGAAAGAAATGGGACTCATGGGAAGTAGTTTAGTATCATCAATGTCTTCACATAGTCTTTAAGACATCTGGTATTAAGAAACTGCTGGGAGGTTTAAAAGCATGGCGAGAAACTACACGGAGTCTAGACTTTGACTTCAAAGACACTTTAGCTAGTACGTTGTTTCTTCCATCCAAATATACCATGTTAAATGTTTGTAAGAGAGTGTGGAGGATCCATGTGAAATCTTGATTTTTCTGAGATTAGACCAAAAAGATACGCCCAGTTTAAAGCATGCGATTATTTTCAGTGTTCCAGTTGAGGAACTGAATTGCTTATCTTACCTTACTTCAGAGAGTTAATCACTCTCCCCCCATTTTTTTTTCCCGTTCTCACATTATTGTGGTCTGGTTTTGAACTCTTTTGATGTGACAGTTCAGAAATTTACTTGCAAAAACAGTCGAATCTACTCAGATGGTACTATTGCAATATGAATTTCAATTTGCTGCAAATCTAATCATGTGAACTTGAAAATGTGATAAACCACAATGTATTCATTTGTTTAAGGAAGCCAATTGTATTATACACCCAGTCTATATATTATCTACGTAAAATGTGGAACTATAAATATGACAAAGTTATTGCTATTGTCTAATTTGCAATCATGTAGTGAGGAGTTTTTTTCACTTTTTAAAACTTTATATTACATTAAATATTTTATTGGGGGCATTAACCTATCTGACAGCACACGTGCAGAGGTCAGAAGACAACCTTTGAAAGCCGTTCTTCTCCTTCCAGCCTGTGGGTCCTGGGAATCAAACTCACACAGCAGTCTAAAGTGCCTTTACATACTGAGTCATCTTACTGACCTAAGGGATTTATTTTATTTTATTTTTTTCTCTACTTATCTTTATTTTATACCTAATGGTTCCAATTTAAAATCTTTATCTTTTTATCCATTCACTGATCCCTGTTGAGGATGCTTAAATACAATATTGTCTTTTCTCCAATTTATATTATATCTTTCACAAAATTATTTAGATAAGATTACATTATTACAAGAAAAATGAAATAAATAATAGCTAAGGCAAGCTAGCTTTAAACATCAAAACATAGAATTCCTTGAAAAAAAAATGAATAAGGATAAACACCTAAGAATTTCAGCAATGGATTCAATTGAGTCTAAAACAGTTACTTTTAGTTTCTTATATAGGACAATCCACTCATTTCTTTTTATTAAGATAGAGAGAATGTTTCTAGATAAATAAACCATAAAATATATTTACATGTGTATATAAATACAACTTAATATGTGTACTTGGTACATGTTATAGTCATGCATACACACACCACATAGATAAATATTAATACACTCACAAATATGTATAATATATAATCCTTCATGTATTTTAATGGCATGATAATTTAGGACTATATGAGTAATTTCAAATGAAATTTCCTTTATACAGAATTTCTAGCTTTATTTGGTTTCTGTTCACTTGGTTGCTTTGTTAGTTCGGAATACTTCTGTGTTTGGTCACACTTCCTGATGTTTGAGGGCATGATCCTTGCATATTTCTGACCATGAAATGTGGAAATGGATCGTGAGTCACATTAGTCACACAAAATGTTCTGCTCTTCTGATTGTGACGAGGAATTTAGATCTAAGCCCAAGAGCAAGTTAAAGTGAAGAGGCCCTCATCTCCCCCAATAGGAAAAAAATAGCATTCGAATTCTCATGGAGGCACATTAGGAGAATCCAGGTAAGACTTCATTTGTGGAGGAGTATGATATTCAGAGTAAGGGCTAACTTAGAAGTCTTGGAGCTCGTATTAGGTTTCCCAACACCAAATCTCCTGACCACAGTCCTCTACTCCAAATTCCTATGTCCTCTTCCTCCGGTCCTTAATGTTGACTTATCTGTTAACAAAGGCACCTACAGATGTGATGAAAAACCAAGGCCAGAGCA